TTATGGTATCGATTTAATTAAAATACGGACTGCAAACATTTTTTCCACGGAAATATATATGTTTACAGTTGTCAGTAGACGTTTGGTTTTCACACAAAGAGTACTAAACTGATGTAGCTGATCTCCGTTTTAGAATGCATTGAAAGTGAGAATTCTTTTTTTGGTGCAGATCGATAGATAAAACTTAGGAAAACTTGAAGCAAACGGATATTTGAAATATGGAAAAAATTTTCTCGTTCGGAAATTAGGGATGGACTTAACGTTTACTATACCTTCTAATGGTAGTAACTCATTCAATCGTTTAATATAACACATTCTATTTTCACTGAATTGTTTATCCCATCACTTCTGATCAAGACTCAGTATGATTGATAAATTCTCGTTCTCTTTTTATGGCGTTCATTTCCAAATATTAGTTTCAAAAAGGTGAAATTAACCAGTAATGATATGTTCAATCAATTATTGTTCAATTGAAATCTATAAAATTCCATATATTTTCAATCTAGCATTAAAGATACCATTGCTTCCTTTTCAACGTTTCTAGAGAACGACTCATCAGAAGAATTGAAGCTTTTAGAGCACATCAATCTCGAGTAGTAGAGTATAATTTGTGCTAAATTTGACTTTGCTTAATATTTTCTTCTATGAGATGTAAGAATCACATGAACAAAAAATGACCTCCGCACTTTTCTTCCTTATTTTTCTGACCCATCATGTTTGATCAATGATAATATGTGTGACAAACTTTTCAGCTCTATCAAACGTAGTGCATGGTAAAAATATGGCGATTTAGTATTTTTTTTGCAGAAAATTCTGTCTCGAGAAAAACGTGAATTAATGCAAAACATCCTTTTCCTTCGTATGTTGGGATATTCACTATTCCAACTAAAAACTATCCGCTGTTATGCCTGCACAATAGTGTCAGGGACCCATCATTGACTTATAAAGTATGATTGAACTACGAAAATCACTTATTTTAATGAAAAGAATGTACTATATAAGCAGTCTTGGGACCATATTTTTATATGAAGAGTTGTAGAAGACCGATGCTCTGACGAGCCTAAATACGAACGAAAACTCCTTGTTCATATAACATTCTATGAAGAACGTTTGAGAGTTGCATTAGCGATGAAATAATGAATCATCCAAAAACTTATTTTTGTTTGTAGCCGATGAATGAGGCAAGTACCCTCACGTAAGTTGGTATTCGATGAATACTATATGCCTGTTTTATATTTTGTATTTTTGTCCGCTTGTGTAGTTAAAGAAAACGCTGTTTATTTTGAAATATGTCTAGGTACCAGTCCTTATAACTGGAATACCGCGGCCACTACAGTAACAACTTTAAGCCCAGTGCAAACTCCATGTGGTTTGGCTTTTGATAGTAGTAATCGACTATATATAGCAGACGGTGAAAGTAGTGTAATACGGCGAGTTGATCTAAGTTCGGGCAGTGTAACTGATGTCGCAGGTGCCGCTTCCAATGCTGGACCTGGTAGTACAGCAACGGCATTGGATAGTCCAGCAGATATCTATATTGATTCAAGTGGTAATATATATGTACTAGATACGAATAATCATCGTGTTCAGAAATTCTCAAGCGGCGCAACTGCGGGAGCTTCTGGTACAACTATTGCTGGTACAGGTGAGGGCGGCACTAATCTTAATCAATTAAATTATCCATCTGGTTTCGCATTCGATTCAACCGCAACTAATATGTATATCACAGATACGATAAATCATCGTATTGTGCAATATTCAACAAGTTCTACAAGTGGCACAAATGGAGTACTTGTAGCGGTAAATTTGTTGCTTCCATTTCTAATCTAGTTTATTTTTATCAGTTTTATTTTCGATTAGGGTACGGGACAACTTGGTAATAGTTTAGACACACTGAATTTTCCTATAGGCATCGCTTATGACACATCATCTGGTTATTTATACATTGTAAATTCCGGTACATACACAATAATGAAATGGTTTCCTGGTGCTAGTAGTGGTACAGTTGCCATAGGTACTATAGGAACGGCCGCCAAGACGTCGGCATTGTTGATGTCGCCAAGTATAGTCAAAGTAGATACAAATGGCAACATATATGTTGTTGATAATAATCGTGTAATGGTGTTTTGTCAAAATAATCCGACCGGAATAGAGATTGCTGGTACTACAGATGTAGCTGGTAATGCTGCTAACGAATTAAACACCCCATCAGGTCTTGCCTTTGATTCATCAATGAATATATATGTGGCTGATACAAGTAATGATCGCATCCAAAAATTTGCCCGCTCTTAACAATTTATTGAATTTAAAATACATAAAAGATCCAACCTGGTGACTTGTTGGAATTGAGCCTTTTATTGGACATTTTTCTTGTGACGTTTTGCGTGATTCAGTAGTTTTATTTTTTTTTTGAGCACTCGTATTCTTGTTTTTTTTATAGTTTCCAAGACGAGAACAGCGCACTTCTATACTTCTTGGTACGTCGTCGAACTTTTTTGTACTTCTCTGTACTTTTTTACTTCTGAAGTACACAAGCACGCTTCTTCGAGCTTGCTTTCCCTTGATAATTTTGTCTCTTTGAATAATTTTGTTTTTATTAAAAGAAGTCGATATTCACAAAAAAGACCATTTTAATTTATGAAATTCAACTTCGCATAGGATGCTTCTTCTGGTCCTGGCTCAAAAATGAAAACCATTACTCTCATAAATATAGCTGATGAATATTCGTGAGATTGACATTTGTCTTCAATTCAAGATCGGGATAAAAAAAATGGACTAGTTCTTGTGGTTTAGAAAACTATGACAATGCTAAAGAATAATAGAATTGAATAGAAATAGCAATTACGGCACGTTTCAACTTGACTGGAAGGTCTCATCGGATGCCTGTGTGCTCACCTTGACAGATTAACCGATAAGGACTGTTTCGAACATGAGTATTATACAATATTAATCTTTGTACTATCAAATGGGTCCTTTTCGACCCATACTCAAAAATTTGAAAATACTTTGGAGATAAATGGTGTGTAATAAGTACTAATCTCATTCAAGTAATATTCTTTTCTTGTATATTTTTTCAGTAGAATTATAGTCAGAGCAATACAAGTAACATAAAATTAACGGAAATTTTTTTATTATTTTTTAAATCAGCATCAATAAAAATATTATAATTGTTCGATCAATGTCGCATAACCAGTAACTTTTATTTTTCTGCATATCACTCCTGTGTTCCGTTAGTTAACCATGTGGTTATTTTATTGAACTCACGTATTTTTGCGAAGAAAAATAGTGAGTGTAAGTTTTAAGTCGAGATTTTTCGGCCCCCCTCCCCCCTTACAGCCACTCCCGCCCTTACAGACAGGCCGTCATTATAGACTGATCCCGATTACACACAGGTCCCATTACAAAAACGTCGCCATGACACACAGACCTCCAATACAGACACCTTCCATGACAGATTTCTCCATTGCAAATACCTTCCCATCGCAGCAAACGCGAGATAATAAATGATTAATGTAGTTTATCATTGGTCTCTTTCACCTGAAGCTTCGCTACAACTATACATCCATCAAGTTAGAGTAGTAATATTATAAAAAATTTACAGTACCACAGCTCCTAGCTTATATGGATATGTGAGTTCTACATTTTAGCCCCAAAGGGGCTGCGCTGACAAGCTTTTATTAGATGCTCATAACGTGCAGAAACAACAAAACTTATGAATAGGTTGCATGAACAGATAAATTGACTTCTAGTGACGAAATGAATTGGTAGATGATTGCCGTTTTTCTCTTTATTATTTTAAAATTTTTTAATCAAATTATCGTTTTGGTCTTAACTGAAGAAAAAGAACCTTACTTGAAATATTCAGTGATACAAATTTAAAGATTTGAAAATAAATTTGAATTGAATAGCCAAGTATTGGACGAATGGAAAATGTTTACTGCAGCAAAAACCGAGCAAATTACAGGAAATTTATCAAGTCAACTAAAGCAATTAAGAGATCAAGACGGGTAGCAGATACGTAAACATTAATGTACATTTTTTTCTTATTCTGTTTAACGCATTGGATGCGATTCAAATAGATTGACCTTGATGGAACCGATAGGTGAGTTTCACCACTGTCAATGTGCTTTAAAAACCTTTTGACCTTATCGTTAGTTAGACCTCAATTCATTGTTTATCACTTGTAAAAACCAGCTTCATAAACTCATTTTCTGAATTTTAACGATTTTTCTCGTCAAAATTCGTCATTTTTTTTGGGTTTTACTAGATTACGTGTTCAAAGAGTGACAAATAAAATAGCGAAAGGAAAGATAGCGAAATAAAAACAGTGAAGATGCGTAATAGCGAAAATCAAAACATCAAAAAGTCACGAATAGCGAAAGGGTGACCATTCATTCCGTCCCCTACTTTTCGTCCCATTACATTTCGTCCCATTCATTTGGTCCCATGCAGAGGTGGGCGAGTTCGACTCATGACTCTGGCTCGAGTCGATTCGACTCACAATTTTTTTATGACTCTGACTCGACTTGGACTCGAAAATTGGCGGATGTTGACTCGACTGTGCGATTCGAGTCATTCGTTCATGAAAAAAGTCCATCTGCTCGTATAAAAAACTTCGCTTCATGAATAAAATTTTGTTTGCTTGATAGCTTTTATTCAATTGAATCGACTGCATCCGAAAAATTTTTCCAAGTTTTCTCAATTTTTGTCTTAAGATCGTAAATGATAACCTACGTGTGCTATTATAGTTGCATCGACGATAAAATAAATGAAAGATTTGCATTGTATTATACATCACATCGTCTGCTGAGCAATAATATTGTCATTTGTATAGGTAATATCGTAATTTTGATCACCAACAATCTTACACATTTGTAATTCTTAAATTTCTAAGGATTAATTTTATACAATTATGTCTCGATACTGCCAGTTTTTTTTTACAGATGCACCCGTTGCATTCATTAACTGTTTTAATCATACATAAATTGCATGATCTATGAAACAAAGTGCTAACTATGAGAGAGGGCTTGTATACACCGTGCAGAGATATCCGAAAAGAAACTGAATCATCACAATTCGAATGTTAAGGTGCTTAAAAGTATATCGCCTGTTGTATAAAATATAGTTTTGATTAAAAATCCTTTTGATAAGGTTCTTTATAAAAATAAACAGAAAAGCATGCCATCGCCGTCTCTTTGAGACTAAAATGTGAAACTCACATATCTCAATCGAAAGTGCATTGTATGATCATTGGTTTTCTCGTTTGTTGCTAGGGAAAGTGGTGACTGATTCTGATTGTTCCCTTCTCTCTCCATCCTACTGCCTAAAACAACTTGCGTATAGATCTTCATTTTACTGCACTTCTTTCTTCCACACCAACTCGCCTCCATATTGCTACGAAAGCACACCTTATGGCCTTTGATCCTGGTTGCTAAGGTCTGTAATGAAAAGTTGCCTGTGACGGAAATCAAGGATGCGGGACGCAAAAATATGCATGAGTTCTACAAAATAGACTTCCGAAAAAAATATTGACTCGACTCGAAATCATTTTGAAATGACTCGGACTCGACTCGACTCGACTCGACTCGAAAAATGGCTTGACTCGCCATCTCTGATCTCACGCAAATTTCGTCCTGTTCATTTCGTCCCCTTTCACTTCGTCCCATATATTTTGTTCCCTGGCTTTTGTTTCAAATTTATTTTGTCTCATATACGATATCCTCTACAGTTTTGTCTCTGCTCATTTTTATATGATTAGCTAATTTTAAGAAAAGACAAAAAAAAGAAATATTTGTTATGATCTGCATCATCTTTAGATACATCATAAGAATTTTCCAGCAGCTAACAGGATTTTTTTTTTTGAGATTTATTGGATTTTTTAATAAATCCTTATACAGTTTGAAATAAATCACATAACTTCGCAATGAGGATGAGGGTGAGGGTGGGCACAGGATAGTGTGAGTGCGTTTAAACACTAATGCCGTTGATAAGTCCCAAGAAATCGTCAAGGAGTAAATAAATTCCGTAGAAAAAATCAAGTCCAAAGAAATAAGTCCCCAGTGGGCCCTCACGAAGAGGGAGATATTAATAATGTGAAAAATAACTGTTAGACTGTTATTCATTTTTCATTTTATTTTATATATTAAAGATAGAAGATCGTAGTAGATGATATTGTACATTAAGTGAAATTGTCGTAATGACTTGTCTAATGCGACAAATTGTGCAGGGACATAGTGAATAGGACAAAGCCAGGTTGATACAAAAAGGCAGCGGACAAAATATATAAGACGAAATGAAAGGGAACGAAATGATTTTGGGGCAAGATGAAAGGGAACGAAATGATTTTGGGGCAAGATGAAAGGGAACGAAATGAGCGTGAGACGAAATGAATGGGACGAAATAAACGGGACAAAATGACATGGAACGAAATGATAGGGTGCCCGCGAAAAAAAGAAATAGCGAAAGTGAAAAATAGCGAAGTTTAGAACGACGAAAAAACGTCGGAAGAAAAATAGCGAAATACTTTTCAACGTGTTCATAACTGCAGCATGGTTGTCTAGCGTCCTCCTTAAAATTAGGTGTCATAGGAAATCATTATAGGTTTTAGCGAAAATCCTGAACCTTTCAAGATTTCAGTCGTTTATTAATAAACCATCGAAATGTTCTAGACAATTTAAAGAACTATGCCTAATAAAAAATGGTTCTGGAGATCTAGAAGAGTTCTGTTTTGCAACAATTTTTTATGCTCAATTTCTTTTACGATGGTAGTTCTAGCACAAGGCGTCTGAACTCCACTGGAAATACAAGGTACCAAACGGATCATCTAGATATCGCCGAATTATACTACATCTTTGAAATATCGCCCAATTCCAAGAAATCTCGTTAAAAATTACAAAATCTCATGAGTTTCGCATCAAGACTCCTTCCGATTCCCGAATAGAAAAAGCGTCGTAAGCAACCTCTTCAAAATATTGCGGTTAGAAGGATTCGAAGTAAACTCTTTACTTTCTGGCTCTCCATAATACAGATGGCTATTCGCTAAACAAAAGCACGATCGATCAAAGTCGTTCCTATTTTCATCTTTATACTTTTTACCTCGGAATCGCGTTCGCATACTTCATTAGTGCATTTACGCTTTATATTTTTCCATGCGCAGCTAAATTTGAGCACAATATGAAAAGCAACGATTAAAACGACATCAAAACTTTTCGCTAAAACTTTGAGATCTCAGTATTTCTTCAGCAGTAACAAAGATTTGGTCCCCTAATAGTTATTTCTGTTTCAATTTCAAA